ATAATAATAATAATAATAATAATAATAATAATAATAATAATAATAATAATAATAATAATAATAATAATAATGGTTAAACTAACATAACCATAATTGCGTACATCCCCCATGGGTGAATAAACTAATAATCTGTTTACCATATTTCTCTTTTAATTCGAATTTCTTTTCTTTTTACTTTTGTGTGTTCTTTTTCTAATAATTCTATTACTTGCTTTCCCGTTGTGTGTGTGCAGAAAACTGGGCTGTTCTGCTCACTGACGGTATACATCTCTTGCTAGTACACACAGATGTGTGTGTGTGTGTGCAGTAATTTAATACATAAACTAGAGCCGTGGGGTATTGTGTGTATCTTTGGCTCTCTTTATTATTTGGGTATTGTGGGGTGTTTTCTTTTCTTTTCTGTTAATGGGTGCATATTATCATGCATGCGGGATATTCTTTTCTTTTGCTTTACTGTGTAGTTGATGCCTCTCTATCTTTTCTACTGTGAGTATTTGTTGTACTGGTGTTTGTTTGCTTCTATCATAATTCTTTACTTGTCTTCCTTCTTTCTTCTTGTATTAGTCTATTGAAATAATCAGCAACAATGACAAAGGCTGTAATGGTGAGGTGTTACCTCCACTGTTTACTAACTCTTGCACTCTGTTGTGCTTGTGGGTTAGTATGGGCTGATAGTCCTAAAGCTTCTGATGCCCTTATTAAACCTTCTACTGTTGGTGTTCCTTCTCTTGTTCGTCGTGCCGTTCCGGCGATTCTTCTCACTCCTTGTTGTGATGAAGATGAGTGGTTGAGTGAAGAAGTTGCAGAAAACAAAGATGTTCACAAAGATTCTCGTACTTCAGAGTCTTCTAGTAGTAGTACATCCATTAATACTGGTCTCTCAGGTGGTGGACCTGGGCCTAAAGAACTAGAGAGAGCAGAAGCAAACACACACCTCGGATGGGATGTGGGTCACAATCAACACACAACTGATATCAACCCATCAGTTAATTCAAGGGTAAATGGGCAAGTGGGAACTACTATTCCAGTCATATCTCCTCCTGCTCTGGGAGGTCAACAGACTGTTTCTCCTTCACCAGAGCCAGATCCAGCTGGACCAAAAGTATCCAGTGAACACTCAAGTAAAGAACGACATGAAGAAGCATCCACTAAAGACGATCATGCTCTTCAACATGCAATGAAATCACCAGAGAAACAACAAGAAGGCACAAACACTCACGATAAACAAGGCGGAGAGACCGCAGATACATCAATGCCAGGTACTTCTGTCGGGCAAGAGACTTCCGCAAATGCACCTCAGAATACACCTGAAACTTCTTCGTACACTTCAGCCACACCGAATGCTAACGAATCTGGAGATGCACAGAGTGAATCAACAAGTATCCAAAACACTGATGTGGGTAGTGGCAACTCCTCAACCACCACCACCACCAC